TGTAACCACTCGAATCGCAGTGTTCCTAGAATATATACGACCGAAAACGTAAATTGTTTTTTCGATCTAGATTCGTTGATAAATTAAAATATATATTTTTCTCTACAGAAATGATCTGGAAATAACGTTTTCTTAATTAGCAAACGGCAATGCGTTTATCTCGTATATGCGATTTAAATGAAATTCTTCATGCAGATGATACGTGAAAAAATCGAGATGTGAAAATAAATCCATGACGGTTTATATATCCAAGAATAAATTGCATTTTATCAAAGGGATTCTGCGCCACGCGATAATTTCCATTCTTCGTGAAATCGTATCTCATACTTAGGCAAGTGGACTTGTTATGTGCGTGAATCACCACGTTGAAAATGATGGAAAAACGGTGGTTTTTGAATACTGATCTTGTGGAAAAGCGATCTGAGAATATTTCTTTGGGTCAATTTATAATGTAAGCCAACATTTTCATCTCCGTCATCGTTGATGCTCGGACGAAAGGCTTGTTGACGTCGTGCCGCGAATTTTTGTTGCCGACAGTTTGCTATTGATTTACATTGGAATGTTTGTACCTATGTTATTTTGTCTTGTAAATCTATTTTTGTGACAGTTATATCTTTTTTTAGAACAAGGATTTTTAGGTATAAATTATGATGTTAAATTATAAATAACCGTAGTTTCTATTTTTGTGTATAAATATATTATTGTTATACCTAATAATATTACTATTAAAATCAATAGTGTAACATGTTTAATATTAAAATTAGTGCGATTTTTGCGAAAGAATAAATTTGAAAATTGCTAGAAAAAATGAAAAACAGGATAACAACACACCACGTATTTGGAACGTAAAAAGAAATATAGTTAACTTATTGTCTACATGATTCACCTACATAGTTTACAAGAATATATCCGTGTCAATTTCATGCAAATTAGACGCAGAGAAACAGGCATGTACAGGCGTAATCTAATTATCCTCGACGCAACCCTAATTCACGTTCTCTGACGTAGATGTTTATTATGCGTGGATCGTAAAGTCTGTGGCATTTGTAACGAATTCTTCATAACAGTTGTCTGCCTTTGTAGAACTTACAGGTCGTAGTTGCCCTCATGGCTAACATAGTGGCGTCGAAGACGAGAACAATCGTTGGTTTGACGAACGAAAACAACGGTACTCGTTATGGCGCATCGCGTCGTATTCTATTAATAACTCGGCACTGCGGCTCTTTGTAAATTTGCCGAGGGTCGCGACGAGCTCATTGATTCATTGATCATATCGTGGGAGAATGATACGTCTCTCCCGGAAGTGCCATCGTTGTTAGACTAGTGACCCTCTCTAGAATAAGAGTGTAATGAAATCGAAATAATGTTCAATTAAAATTAACCAGCATCAATCATGCAACTGATTGAAAAAAATTATTTATGACAATTTATGACACAGTTTGACAAAAAATTTTTTTCTCTGAAATGTCATATTCCAAAGATCTTTTCATGTTGAATACGATACCATTGACAGAATTTAGCATTCATTGGCCGGATCCATGAGAGAGGAGACCATGACCTCCCTTTTTCAAAAATATTGATGTCAAATGTTACATACTTTTTAAATATTTCTGAAATACTTAATCAAAATTTTGATTCCAAAAATATTTTTTAAAGTCATAAGGTATAAAAAAGGTATAAAAAATGTATGTTATTATATGTAGTCATTATATTATAGTTTTAAAAAAGCCGTTTTTTTCAAATTGCAGAAAGGAAACTAAAATGATTTTCTTTTTGGAAAGAAGCAAATATGGTAGATCTTAACACAAATTTTTCCGATGAATTTTTCTATCCTTAGGAGAGGAACCGAGAAAATCGGCGGAAAGATTTGATAAAAACAGTTTTTTCCGAAATTTTAAAACTATATATTATATTATTTCTTTTTTGTATTAATATAATTTTAAATAAAACTTTTTATGAATGATATATTTAAATAGTACTTTTTTACAATGTAACGCCACTAATAATTTAAATATTCTACTCTTTTCACGTACACATATTTACACTATAAAAAAGATTTCACTTGCGACCTCTCTCCCTCCTCTCTTGAAAAAATTTCTGAATCAATAGTAACTCGTCAGGATTTTTAATAAACTGTAATGAAATTAGCAAAAAAAAAAACATTTTTGCCATATTAAACATTTTTATGGCAAAACAAAAACTTATTTTTATATAAAGTTCACAGAATCTAAAAATGCACTCACAAAATTCAAAAGTTTTAAATAAATTTTAGTTCATGATCATACGATTTATTTTCATCAAGTTATGGTTGTTTAAAAATTCAGACTTTCTGTATAATTATTCAAACAGTCATAACTAATGATAATAAATTATATGATGAAAAAAATTTATTCGAAAATTTTTGAATTATATTTTTAGATGTCATAGACTTTATTATTTAGAAATAAGTTTTGAAAAATGTCGAAAATGATGAAAACATATCATTTTTGCCCATGTCATCCCAATTTATTCAAAATTCTGACGTTCTATACAAATTCTGTCAACGTGTTCAGCATAAGAAAATTTTCGGGATATATACTTTGGCACTTGAGAGAAAATTTGATGATGAATTGTGTATAATTCTTCACCAACAATTAACTGTTCATATTTCGAAAGCAATCTTCGTTAGTTGCTTGTTTTATTTAAATTCAGTGAACTGACAGTTATTAATTACGGCCGTAACTTACTAATTGCATTTATAACTAGTTAATGATCAGGCACTGCTTTATATTTATAGATGTTCGGTAATGAATTGCTATTTTTTAAAATTATAAAAACGTGTATTTTCGGTCAATTGTAAATCTATTTATCGGATTAGATTAAATTATTTTAAGTTTCTTATATATCTTTAATACCTTTAGGCGAGTCAGAGACGATCGATCATTTTGAGCTTTTTCAAATAACAGTATCATACGAAGGCAAGTCAATAAGTTTTTAGAAAAACATAGTAAAACACATTTTTTTTTATCGATTCATTTTTATTTCTCAATATAGTCTCCTTTCAGCTCGATACACTTGATCCAACGATTCTTAAACTTTTTCAAGCTGTCCAAATAATATAATTTGTCGAATCCTTCAAAATAAGCCTCTGTTTCGGTGATGAGCTGCTCTCTGATGGTGAATCTCTTTCCTCCGAACTATTTCTTCAGGTTTGGAAACAGGAAATAGTCGCAGGGGACTAAATCTGACGAATGGGGAAATAATTCGTAGCGGAATTCGTTGAATTTGGCCATCGGTGCCGGACATGTATGAACCCGTGCATTGTCTTAATAGAAGAACACTTTCTTCTTCGCCAAAGGGGGACGTTTTTTTCTTTAAAATGTTGTTGAACGTCCAGTAAGGCTGCATAATAATCGTTTTTGATCGTTTGCTTCGACAGAAAGTAATCGATATGAATTATATCGCGTACATCCCAAAAAACTGTGACCATCACCTTTCCGGCCGAGTTTACTTTGCCTTCTTCGGAGCTGGTTTACCCAGTGAAGTCCATTGTTTTGACTGTTCCTTCGTCTCGGGTGTGAAGTAATGGATTCATGTTTCATCCACAGTAATGAATCGACGCAGAAATTCATCTGATTATGATTATTGAAACATCTCCAAACATTGTCTTGAAATCATCACACGGTCGCGCTTATGGCACGGTCCACAATGAGCAAACGCGGTACCCATCTTACCGATAACTTTTCCATGCTTAATTGTTCAAAATTGAAATCACTGTGCCATATGATATGCCTGCGACCTCAACAAGCTCGCGCACTTTCACTCGTCGATCAGTCAAAATAATATCGTGGATTTTATCGATGATTTCTGGCGTAGCAGCCTCAATTGGACGTCTCGAACGAGGTGCATCACATGTGGATGTACAACCACATTTAAATTCATTCACCCAATTGTATACAGTCGCAAACGCTGGTGCAGATGTACTATGAACATTATCCAACTCGACTTTAATTTCTTTCGGCGTTAAATCTTTCATATATAGATATTTGATCACTGCACGAAACTCGTTTTTTTCCATTTTGCAAAAAATACAAAGGTTGTTCGCTTTAATTATCTACAGAAATGAAACCACCCGATGAATTCCGCTCAAAATTTGACAATAATCAGCTGAGAGATGCTTGTCAAAAAATAATGTGACATGACGCTGCGAGTGTCCTCTGACAGATTTTCTAAGAAACTTATTGACTTGCCCTCGTATAAACACGAATATATCGTAAAACTGAAAAATGATTGCAGGAACGTTAACAATTCATATTGATGAAAACGATTAATATTTTCGAAATGGGAAATGAGAATGAAATTCTTGCCATGTACAAGCATAATTCTGTTACCGAGTGGTTGCAGAAAACAGGACAAGCGGACTATGTAAATAATGGTAAATCGACAATTATAAATTTCAATCTTCTGCCAATTTTTTTTATGTTTATTATTTTTAAACGAGAAAATATTTAAAGATAAATAATATAAAATACATATAAATTTCATGTATAAATAAATTAATGTTTATATATCGTAAATCTTTATGTTTGTATAAATTATTATAGTATAATATATGAGATGTTTAAGAAATCATCAAATTCTATCACATTTTGATGTCACTTATAATAATATGTGCTTTAAGTTCTCTAACTAAACACGTATGCTTTCCGCGTATATTGTTTTTTAATTAACATCATGGCACATTTATATTTGTATACGTAAACTTTGAAGTGCATAAAAAGGAGCAAATGATAAAAAGTAATAAAGTATGTAGAAGTAATAATATTAACATCAAAATAAAATAATATAAAATTTCGTACATTTAATTAAAAATAAAAATTTATTATTGTTTATAACATTTCATGTTATAGTAGAGAATTCTCTCATATAGTAGAGCATTTATATTCTGGGTAAACGAACTGTGCAGACCATTCTTTATTAGCAGATCTTATTTAAACAAAATTATTTTATTTCTGACGCAGGTAGCGAAAGCCCAGTTTTTGGCATCGAGGGTGGTAGTAGCGCTGCAGGCGCCAGCAATAACTTGAGACTTGCATCTCACGAGCTGCCAAATGAGATTTCAGCTCCCTATGAAGTACCTCAATTCCCGATCGAACAGATCGAGAAGAAGCTTCTGATCCAACGACAATTGACTGTCAAGTGAGTATTCATTCTGATTACATGCATTTTTATAGCATTTTTTAGTTTACTTAATTTATACAATTCAAATTCAAGTAAAAATTTATGCTTACGAAATTATTTATAATTATATACTTATAATCTTATACATATGTACAATATTGTAGTTTCTTAAATTTTATATTTTAATTTGTAATATAACTCTGATTTAAACATTTTAATTGAAATATATCCTCGCAAAAATTAATCCCAGCTATACCAATTATAATACGAATCGAAAAAAATTAAATGATTAAATTGACGCGAAAGAGTTGTTGTATTTATCAAATAAAGACATTTAAAAAATGTCACTCATCAAAACAAGAAGCCACCATAATCTAAAGACCAGAGCTGTTTCTTCAACAAGTTTTATATTGAATAAAGTTGGAAGTTTTTTGAAAAGGGCATTGATGAAAAATTTTTCTCTGATGAAAAGAAAAGTTTTAATATATTTTTCTTTTTATTTAGAGAGAAATTTTGCAATGATTTTTTCAAAAAATTTCCAACTTTATTTAATATAAAATTTGTCGAAAAAATGACAGATATATTTTATTATTCTAGTCAACCCCTAATGTGTAGAGTTTATATATTAAAATTGCACCTCGAATAGAAGGGTTGATTTCAATTAGTTTAGATGATTTTATTTTAGATGATCAGTAAGTTTAGATAATTATTTTGCGCCGAATTTCAAGGGATACGACGATACCGATAAGCAGGCGGCTATAAAGCTGAGATCGCGATATATTTATGATTGTGCGAAAGGCACTAAAGTATTATCGCTATACTGAAGGATATAAAGTACTTGGCTGTATGTACAAGATAATACGTACGCGATCGAGTATCTAGTAAAATCAAGTGCTATAGCTAGATCACTATACAGAATTGTCTGCAATGCAAATTTAAGTCTTAGACATTTTAAATAAAAATTTGATGAACACTACTAGGAATATAAATTGAAATTATTTTTAGAATAGCAATTTTAAAAAAACGACTTTGGAAAAATTACCTTTTTCAAAAGATAAGACGTTTGAAAAAATATCGTGCTTCTTGTACCTTAAACGATATAAACGTTCTGCTTTCGAAATCATGTATGTTTAAACGAGATCACATCGGGTAAATCATCATAATCCATTCGAAAGTTTTTACATAAATTAAGGAACGTATAGATAGAAGATTGCTTATTTTTTGCACACTATGGAATCATCGTATTAATCGTGAGATACGAGATCGATTTTTAACGAGGATCTCTCTCTGCCAAGAATATTCTGAATTAGCTTGCTTCTCTGTTGAAGGAATATTAAATGCTCTTTACTAATTCTTACTTAAATTTTAAGCAGGAATTTGCATTTATTTAGAAGATAAAAGAGGAAAATGATTTCTAAATTCACTGTCAGAAAATCTGAGAAATTCGAAGAATATTTTGGTCACATTTGCATAATATATTCGTAAATATTTTATGGTTGTAAATAGTTAATATGATTAGGGCAGTTGTACTTGTAGTCATAAATCGGTATTTATAAACGATTCTTATATTTAAGACCATCTTAAGTGAAGCCTTAAATGTCATGAATCATTACAGTACAGTATTCATAGTTAAAAATCTTATATTTAGGATCTTAAATAATGTCTTAAATAATGTTTCAAGATGCTAATACGGATTTCTGATTGGTTCATGACATTTTAAGACTGTATTTAAGACAGTCTTAAATATAAAAATCGATTATGAATACTGCTCATAGAGCCGTAATTAGCACCTTAAAGAGTTAAGATAATCTTGAAATAAAAAACAAACAGTATCGACATACATAGTATATAATTGGACGCTGATACGACACTTGGGACTGTTATACTTCCTGTGTCATCGCATAATAATGAAAAAATGTTTTATATACGATGTTTTATGTATACTAATAGAACGCCAACTCGGCAATGTTCGCCAGGTTTGCGTCCGCGCGAACCAGTTCGGAATTATTATCGTCGTTAGATATTTTACTGGTACCGTGATGTATTATGTAGATCCGAGCGAAGGATATAAACGGATAGATAGAGACTGGTAGGTCAGGTCGCCCACGTCTTAACTGGAACGGTCGAGGCAGACATTTGTGAATTTTACGCAAGAAATGTCGCTATCCAATGAGACAATTCTGCGCTCCTTCGAGTTCTTTTGAATTGCT